GTAGAACTTAGAACTTTGAAGTGACTTGTTTTATGGTGTGTCTGCCTCCCGTGTTTAATGTGGTTTTTTCCCTGACAGTTTTGGTGCATTGGCCGGGGAAGGATAAGCTGAGCATTTGTTCTCAGCTGCTCCTTCCTGGAACTACCCACACCGTTGCTTCAAAGGTCTACGGTAAAAAGGTACGTTTTTGGAATGTTCCATTGGGGTTTTTGGTTTCTTTAGAATTTCTGATATGTATCTTATTATGTAAGAAGTATTCCGGCTATGGAATAATTGCTATGCTTAAAGGCGAAACAGTTCAGGAATTTCCTGTAACTGGGAACTTGTCAAAGGTGGTGTTGAAGGAGCTCTGATAAAGTTGTGTTGAAATCAAGGTCGCGCCTTGAAGTTTCTTTATCTATCCTTTTGTTTCAGAGATCTATACCTTTATTTTGATGACTATTTTTCATTATTTTGGTTTCCATTTTCTACCTGATGGGGTGGTTTGGGTTTTGCTATGAGATTTCTCGTTATTGGGTGATTATTATGTTGCTCATTTATTTTTGTCCATGTTGTTTGTATTGAATTTGTTGTGGGTATTTAAGGTCATTATTGTTTTATGTTTTTTGTTTAGTTGTTTGTCTAGCTGCTCTTTTGTATTTCATATAGGGGCGTGGACTTACAGCATTTTAGTTAGTTTTGCCCTCTTTGGGTTTTTTGCCCTTTAATGCCAAGTGTTAAATTCTAACCCATGTGTTTCTGTTCCCAAATAAACCCTTCTGAACTCAGTCACACTTAATAACAGGAAAAAAAGTGCAGAGACTTGTGCAGTAATTTAAATGATGCAGCATGAATGAATCCCTCTTGCATAACGTTGATTTCTCATCTTTCATTAAATTAGGGAGTGGGATTCCTTTGTAGTAAAGCCCCAGCCTTTTGAGTTCTTGGTAAAACAGACCTCAAAATGATGTGTTCTATACGTTACAACTCCCATCTTCCCCAGCCAGCAGGGTTATTATTTGTGAAGGGCGGAGATGGTGGCAATTACAACCCACCACATCAGAAAGGTGCCAAGTTGGGGGAAATTGTGGCTTACTGCTACAAGGCCTTCTACTGTCTAACGTCTTTCTAGATCACACTAGCATTTCATCAGTCCCCTTTAATAACCACTGAGATAGTTTGGGTCTTTTCACAGATTTTTGTTTGTGTGTTGCACCTTTACGTCAGTCTTGAATCCTGGCAACACCATGAACAAGTCCCTGAAGTTTTCTTGTAATATTTTTGGAAGTGGTTGGCCCTTGCCTTCTTCCTAGGGCTGAGAGAGAGTGACTGGCTCAAGGTCACCTGGCTGGCTTTGCGCAGGACTTGAACTCACAGTATCCTGGTTTCTAGCCCACTATACCAAACTGGCCCTTGATTTCAAATCCAGATATTCTCAACAGGCTCAGGAGCCACAGAATATTTTCCCCAAAACATCAGCTTTAGCAACCAGGCTTTGATGGCAAGGACATGAAGCAAAAATTCCCTCATTGGAAGAAAAGACATTATTGCAGAATTAATAGCCCAGGGGCAAGATTTCATTTCTGTAAATCACCCTCTAATATAACCAGCAATGACTGAGTCAGTTTCACACAACAGCGAAGCTCATGCAGATTGCTGCACTAGGCTAAAATAGGCTTGGATCGTTTGTAGTCCGGTGTGGTAGGAAGCTACCCATTGTTGTCTCACCACGTTGGATGAATTAGTCCATCATATTAAGCTTTAATACAGTTTGTTTGGGTATAGCATGTTATGTGAATCTAGCAGCTGTATTGTGATAAAGCGAGATAAGAGTTTGATGTGTTGTGTGAAGTCAGCCAGGTAGTGGTCATAAAAAAGTAGAATTGGTTAAGAGTGTGCATTGCTCAGTTTTTCAATCCTAATTAGGATGAAGTGGATGGCAAATGAAAATGAGAACTCACCGAAAAGAACTGGCTGGGTTGCACAATAAGCTAGCTAGTTATGGCTCAAAGCACTGTGTCCTATATTTAATTCAGTAAACCTTAGTTCATAATTCTGTTAACAGCGGTGTATAAATGCAACTACTTTGTAGCTGAAGGCAATACCAAAGTATTTCCTTTCATCCCTGGGAGAGTTGTGAATGTGGGAATCAGTGCATTCTAATACATGCACACGTGGAAAGATTTGACTGGCTGATGTTTGCAGGGACAGATGTGTGCCCACATGTGTTCAGTTTTGTATCATCTGTCCCCAAACTGGCCCTCACTAAATATGTTGTGCCTACAGTTCCAAGAGTTGCAACTCCAGTGTATCTGGAAGACAGCTTGGGGCGGGGGGGGGGTGTGTGTGCAAGGGACAGATTTAGTGTATCTGAGCCTATTGGCTATGTTCACACAATGATCTTAACTAGATCAGATACAGACCTAGTTGGTACATTCATGCAACAGGCTAAGCTTGATTGGGCTCAACCTCACCTAGCTATTTTTCAGCTCAGTTATTATGCAGACTCAGCCCTTTTGATTACTTGATGGTTCAATGTAGTGTGTGAATCCAGCAGATGAGTTAATTCAGGAACCACGTCTCATGGTCACTGCACATTTTCATTCTTGGACTTTTATGGAGAATTCAAACTCTTTATGGAGAATTCAAACTCTTTGAATTCTTTGAATCTCTTTTATGGAGAATTCAAGCTCTTGTTTGTAAGCTTCCCCTCTTTTCTCATGGCTCTCCAGCCTCTTTTTTTCTTACCAGAGGAAACCCTTTAAGGAGCAGGAGAAGGAGCGTTGGATCTGCAGAGTTACCCACTCGGTCTGAAAGCATCTTTTGCTTCTCGTTCCACAGAATGTTGCAGCTCTCATGTAAGACTCAAACAAAAAATTGCTTGAAAAAACAATCTGATGTTGAAATTTAACAGGGGAAGCTGTTGCTGCGTGGAGATAAAAGAATATCTTTTCCTTAGCAACTTCAGACCCAGGGTCTCCAAATTAAGCTAGTTTTACAAAATGCAGTATTTCAAGTTACCATACAGGAGCTACTGCCGTTCCAGAGACTGGAGCCTGATGGTTTAGATTTTGTTTTGCTCAAGGGAGATTTTAAGAAAGGACTGGGAAGCAAGATGCTCTCCCATCAGAAGGCAAACAATAGGGAGCCAATGGCAAAACCAGTCAGCTTCTTTATTTGTAATTACCAGAAAACAAACCATCTATAAATTAGCATGAAGACCAAACAGATCATTCTAAAGTTGATTTCTTTAAAGAGGTATCTGCCGGGAAAGACTGTATTGGTCAAAGCCTGTATTGGCAAACCTGTCAGCCAGGACTGTGCCACGTATGGCAGAATGATTTGCTGTTGTGTGTGTGTGTGTGGGTGTGTGTGGGTGTGTGTCTTAACGCACGTAGAAAGTAGCCTCTTGAGGAGGCTTGCCTGGAATTTTTTGGCAACTTGCTTGTTTTCCATGCATGTACAGGAACTCTCCTCTCTTATGAGAACCTCTCCCCATGAAGTCTGAAGGAGTCCAGACAGCCAGCCTGAAGATGACACTTCCAGTCTGGTGGTTCTATAAGACGGATGAGGAATTTTCTCTTAAGTCTGCCTCAACTAAAGATCTCAAGTGTGTTTGCAGAGAAATCCTTCTTGACTGTGCTCCCATGTCCAGGATTTTCTCCACTTCCCTGGAGTTTTTCTATTATTTGGAAGATGTGTGTGTAAGCTAGTTAGCTCTCAGTGCTCACGGACAGGGGAAATGTGAACAAGTTGGCATTCAAAAAGAATGTGGTTGAGGATTCTACAGTTCATGGTCATTAAGCAAAATAAATCAATAAGCTAAGAGCGGGGGGGGGGGGAGATCCTTCTCCAAAATGAGCAGCCCTTCCCCCAAGTCTTAATTCCTAGCTAATTTCCTGGTGCACTATGGTTGTATCTAGTGTAATCAAAGTAACAAGGCTGCATTACTTATTACTGCAAAGGTTGGAACCTGTGTCCATGTTGTTGAACCTTATTGCCCATTAGCCTCTGCCACCATGGCCAATGATAGACGTCTAACAAGAGGAGGAATATGTAGTTGAACTATACCTTCCAGTCAGCATGGACAATAGTGAGGTATGTGGGAGTTGTAGTTCAGCAACACCAGGAGAGCCAGAAGTGTATATTCTGAATTTTAAGTGTACAAAGTTGGTTTGCATGTGTTTGAAAAATGTGTAAATGTAAGCAAAATATATCTCATGGACTCATGTTATCATATCATCAGAATTGCTGAGCTGAAGTTTAGTGGCCAACCCAATTTACTTTATGTCCAGCCTGAAATGCTTCCCCTGTCTCTGTGAACATGTATTGTGAAATACATCAAGTGTATCTACAAATTCTTTCACAATCTCAATGTACATATGACCTGAGAGATCCCATCTTTATATTTTAGTTACCCTTACAAATCCCTACCAGTCCCATCTTTGCTGGTCCTTCCTGACTCACTTGTCCATTATCCAATCATGCTCCTCTTGTCTTCTCTTTCCTCCTGAAATATCTGACCCATGGTTCTGAGCCAGGATGCAAGTTATCTCACATTATAGGAATGCTGACCTGATGTAGAAATGGATGATCTGTGGACCTCTAGATGTTGCTGGATTAGAACTCGCAGCATCATTCTCTTTTAGCCAAACCAGCTAAACCTGCTAAATTGTAGTTTAAGCAACATCTGGAGGGCCAAAGATTGCCCATCCCTGTTGGGCTGCCTAGTTATATATCAAGAGGCCATCTGCTCCTCTTAATTTGCATTGCATTATTCACAAAATATTAACTAATCCCACATTTGGTAGATTTATAATCTGGCTGCGAGAGACTGAACTAGACGCATCCCCTTTTTCAGGCTCCACCTTGGATGACTTTCTGCATCTGAGCTCCATCAGCGGATTGCTGCACCTCCTGGTCCATGATGCAAACCAGAAAGGCTCCTATGCATAAAGAAGCAAACCTCCCCATCAAATCCATTGCTTCAAGGATCAGCAAGAGAGAAAACCAAAACCTCAAAAACTAGCTGGCCTCAACGAGGCCAAGGGCTGAGGCTTCCTTTGAGAAGAGAGCTGCTTGTAAGAACTTCCACCCCAGCCGACTCTGGATCAAAAAAAGGCTCCCATGCACATGGCAGGCGACTGGAGAGAAGCTGCCCATAGAGATGGAGGGGACAGCAGGTCCTTAAGGTCTCACATAATGGTGCATCGGTTCCTCCGCAGGGCTCCCTGGAAGCGGATGGCAGTGTGAACGTGCTTACATCGTGCGCAACCCACACTCTTCAGAAGTTCACTGAAGAGCAAGAGGATATGCCAGTTGTATTTGGCTGAGCATTCAATGTAACCACACTTCCATGTCTTCTTCACAAGGTTGGAGACGTTCCAGCGGGGGATGACCCGGCCTTTCTGGAGGTCCCGCTTGTTCCCAACAATGATGATGGGAGTATCTGAGGTGCCAATGACTCTGCCAACAAAGAGAGGAAAGTCTTGTGAAGAGCTTGAAAACCCAAGCCAAGGTGGTAGAATGAGAAGAACAATAGAGGAGCTAGGTGTACTTCTGGTCACAATGTCTGGGAATTATGAACACTGTACTCCCAACCAATTCCTTCCTAAGTCTCTGAAAAGCCCAGGTGCAAAACATTGCAACCCAACCTTTATTTTCATCATATCTGCCAATGTAATTTTTTTCCTCAACTTCTTTACCTATGGAAGCCAATAATTGGGAATGTGTTGTGAAAACTAACATTATCATTGTAAGGGGGTCACCCTAAGGGATGGCCATCCCTGGAGCTATAGGTTAAGTGGCCTGCATGGCATGTGGTCCAGAGAGAGTCATGTGCCTTGGCACAGTGAAATAGCTGCAGGTGGGGAGGGCAGAAAGTATTGACTTGACCCAATTTACACTTCCTGCAACAGGCCTGATCCACCACCCAACACAGATGCCACCTTCTGCTCAATGATAGGACTAGCCCTGGATTTTGCGATGGTCCAGCTCACCTGGGGCTCTGGATTCCAAATGTGGCTGCACAAAACTTGGTATAAGCAAGGCAAGGGCTTTGCTACTGGGAAACAGTCCTACAATCCTTCTCCTTCCCTTTCCCATCCAACAGTCAAAGCTGAGCCTAAGGAGCTCCGTGAAAGCAGCTGCCAGTCAACTCTACAGCCGCTTGCCAGGATTTCAGTGGCTTTTTAAAAGGCTCTTGCATCCTACTCTACCTGCTTTGCTTCACTTTCTTAAATGAGGGCCCTGCTTTTTACAGGGTTCAGATCCTAACCCTGTTAACTACCAGCCTTGAAATTACTCCAAGCAGAAAGAAGTTGACATGGACTGTGCATTCAATATCTGAGGATTTATGCTGCTTTCTAAAATTCCTGGCATTAGCATCTGGGCCCCCTCCCTCCTCTGATCTCAAGTCCAGGGTGGGATGAAGCAGAAGCATATTTTTACCTTGTTTCTAGGATCTGCTGCCTAATGGTTTTGACATACTCAAAGCTGTCAAAACAACAGATGTCATAGACCAAGATGTAGGCATGAGCACTCCGGAGGCCTCGGCAGCACACGTCCGCCCACTCCTGCAACACAGACAGAGAGAGGGACAGATCAGGGAACACACAGCACACAGCTCCACAATGGTACCACCCAGCCCACCCACATACCCACAGCTTGCGTCAAGGGTGGGGAAAGTTTGCTCCTGTTGAGTATCCAAATGCTCTGATCAATTCTTAACTAGCAAGAAATGCAGGGGGTGAGGCTGGGGAAAGAAATCAGAAAAAGAAGTCTTCCAAATTCAATTCAAAAATGGGACTAAAATTAAATAGAAAGAAGACCAAACTAGTCACAAAAAGTATAGTAACTAGAACTAACAATAACAATATGGAAGTGATGGATAGTGTCTGACTTTTAGAATTGACTATCAAGAGTAAAGGAGCCAACAATCAAGAAATATGTCACAGACTAGCACTTGGTAGGGTAGCTATGAAGGCCACGGAAAAGATACTCAGATGCTGGGATGTTTCTATATCTACAAAGTTCAGAATTATACAGGCAATGGCTTTTCTGGTGACACTCCATAAAAGCAAAAGATGGATTTTGAAGATAGATAGAAAGAGTTTTGGATAGAAAGAGTTTTCATGTTTTTGAACTTTGATAGAACATTGGAGAAGACGATCAAAAATACCACAGATAGCCAAGAACATAAAACAAAACAAAAACAGATCATAGAACAAATCAATCCAAAGTTCTAACCTGAGGCAAAATGACCAAGCTTAAATTATATTTTACATTATGTGAAGCCATATCTCTAGGGAGAAGTTCGTAATGCTGGGAAAGGTAGAAGGAAAAGAGAAGAGGACAACCAGCAGCAAGGTGGCTTGACTTAATCACAGTAGTGATAGGGGCTCCATTGGAAGATATGAAAGGCCAGGTTGGGTACAGATCTTCCCAGAGAAGATCTAGCTACTAAGAAGCGACACTGATAATGGCACATAATCAATCAGTCAATCACTTAACAGTAGGCATTGCTACAAGGGTACAGTGACATCTCTCAAAAATGCTCTGTCATGGATAATAAAAACAACAATATAAAGGCGATCTCAATATTAAGCAATCAGTTTAAGACCGAAACTATTATTATATAACCAAAACTTTGATGTGAATTGCAGCAGTTCTTTTTTTATGCTATACTTAACTTTGAATGAAAATTCAAATAATCTAATATTTGTAATATTGACATCCTAAATTGCAATTTTTACTTTTCTCTTTTTAATTTCAATACTTTAAGCTTTCTAGATAATAAAATATTCATAATTTTTAGTCCTATTACATAAATATTACTGCATTGAAATCTGCGTTGGAATAATACAATGTATGAAGATTTATAACATTACAATAAAAGGAAAACAAAACAAAAAAACAAAAGAAAGCCATAGAATATGGGATTGACATTAAGGTTAATAATTTTATCACACCCTAGGATAGGTCAGCGCATTTGCATTCAGGTTGGACTTTAATTCTTATATTGCAAGAATTTTATGTTTTATGGTAGAGAATACATTACATTAATGGGAGAAAGTGAAGAAGAACTAAAGAGCTTCTTGATGAGGGTGAAAGAGGAGAGTGCAAAAGCTGGCTTGAAACTCAACATTAA